CCTCTATTCTGCTAAGCACTGATAAGCTAAACTCCACAGATGAATAGGATTGCATGTTTGCTTTTTTTTTAAGGGAGGCACAATTTTAAGACCTTTTTAAACTAGGTTAGAAGTTTCCCTTCCAACACTTCTGTTCTTTGCCCCGCCAAAGCCAGCCAGCACATCCCTGCAGCCTTAACAACTAGTTCTGAAGCAAATAAAACCACTCTGTTTTAATGCCAACCCTTAAATAAAGCATGTCCTTTTGAGTGGCCTCACTGGGTATCTAAAGCTTATCAGCCCTACTGGATTGTGCACTACACAAGGAGAAGGCTCAGATCTCTCTGATACAAGTCTTCTCTCAGCTACTCCAGCCACTAAATTATGCACTGTTTTGGACCTCTCCCTCTTAGTTTTACCTGGAAAAATCTGATTTTGACATAACAGCATTTCAAAATCTCTCGACAAGCTTTACTTATGAGTGGTCAGGCAATGACACACCAGCACAACAGTAACAAGTGTTTAAATAGACATGAAATTCTAATAATCTACTTCAAGTTTGGTTCTTATTTGGGTTGCCAAGTGAAAGCAAATTGACTTGACACTAGAGAAATGAGCGGATCAAACCAGATTACACTAGTCCAGCTGAGGAAACACATAGCCCAACATTGCTAATTTTAAGTCTCTAGCTGGAAAAGTTTGTAACAAACAGGTACAATGCCAGGAAGTTTGTGCACACATCCTCAGGAGCAACACTGGCCACGTAACCTGAAAACACACCACGTTAAATTGCCCTTATCACCCCAGTGTTTCTGCACAGAAGTACCAGTCAGAGCAAAGGCACAGCTTGGTGTGCAGGGGATGCTGTTCCCTGGGAAAGCACAGCCAGAACCACACAGAGCTGCTCACGGCAGGGGACACACACATGTACTGAACTCCTTCGTCAGCCTCAGACTAAAAGAAGTCCTTTAACTACCCAATACTTCCCACTCTTTGCACACATTCAGACAGAGACATAACCAAGGCACAGAGTGTGCACAGCCTTGGAGCCACAGGTTGCTTTCTGCTCTTAGTCTGTTTCTTTATCTGGGATGTCACAGTTTTTCCTACTTTGCTTTTTCTTCATTTTGTGTTGTAAAATCTTTTCTACCATTGGTGTTTGAAGCCTTATCTCTTTCCATTCTATCCATGCCATTTGTCATTTGTGCCTTGCCAGTTATCTCTCACTGTTTGCATTACTTTTCCATACTCAATTCTTACCTCAGGCCTGTCATTTCCATGTTCCTATACAGTCATTTTCATCCAAATTCTCTCTTGACCACTGAGTCCAAGTATCCTTCTTAAACATATCCTTGCCTTGCCCTTTTCCTTTGTTGCTGTGAAGCTGCAGCTTCCTTCCAGAACTCCCCTCCCTCCCTGTGTGCCAAACGTTTGATGACATCATTCCAGTACTTCATTACAGCTCTACTTCTGAGAAGTTTTTCAGGAAGATCAACTGCCCAATTCCCAAGCCCATAAAGCTCGTAGGAGTGGTCTGGTCATTTCAGTGAACCTTTGATCAAGCTCCAGCCCAGAAATCACACAAGCTCCCATCCAACAGTGAATGCAAAACTGCAATGATCCTAAACTCTCTGCAAAGAGAAAAGGCACCAGAGATGTCTCCCTACATTTCAGGTCCAGCCACTAAGCTCTGTATGAAGCCTGAACACCAAACCAGCCCTGGGCCCTGAGAGGACAAGGCACTGGCAGACCAAGGTGTCTGTATCACCTCGTGTGCCTGAAGTGCTGCAGTTCTGATGAAAGACTTCTCGTGGGTAGAGGAGTTTGTATCCAGGACACTCTCACCTGTTGCAAGCATCTCCCTCCCATTCACTCTGCCAGGCCTATGAGGAATTAATATTTTACTTTTTGGAAAGTGTTTCTTTTCACATCTCCTGCAGAGGGGACAAGGACCCTCAGCCAGTTTGTGCTCATTTGCAGGCTGAAGCTCTTTGTGGTAACCAGACTGCCAGAAAACTCATGGGTCTGCACAGAGGACAGTGAAAATAACCATCATCTTAAACAAAACCCCCAAACCAAAGCATGGGAAATACACAAATCTGGGAAAGATATCCCTGTGAAAAGTACAAATTTTGTGTACTAGCAAGTTATTTAGCAGGGAGGTCCTAGCAGGTGCTTAATTTTGTTTTCCTGCAGTAGAAGATCCCTTTCCCAGATAGCATTCCCTACCTGGCTCACATCGAGACAATCCCAAGAATGTTAACATTCTGTTCATTCAAATATGTGGATGCCAAATTTCCCAGCAGTTTCCACACCTCCTGTTCCATTTCTTGTCAACAGGATGCTCAATGTTTCATTTAATTGCTGTTTATTTCTTTGCCAAGCCAAGCAAACTTGGGAGAGCGGACTGGATTTATACACCAGCAGTGAAATTATTAACTAAATAACCTCAAAGAATGGTTATTACTAAGGAAGTTGTAAAAGTGGCCAAGAATCAAGTATGGTTTAGGCTTTTATCACACGCATTTTTGGGGGGAAAAAGGTGAGTAAGCTGAGCAACATTCTCTTGCCCCTGTACAAAGCACCAGTGCTTACTTCCCATCTGAAGGAGCCTTAAAACCCCACAAACTGGGGGGTTTAGCCAGTACCTTTGTGGTGTTCCAAGTTTAGGCTCTAGGCCTTGAGGAATTAGCACAGAGGGAAGAGAGCTGTCAAAACAAGGAGGCTGAACAGAGCAGTTGTCCTTCATCTGGATGTCAGGAGGGCATTTCTTCAGTACCAGTCATGACACAGAAATCACGACTGCTTGCCAGACAATGAGTAAGAGCAGCAAGTGTCTGAAATTGGCTTGTGAAGTAGTGGGTTGAAGTATTAAGATGAGCCACACACTGTCTGAAGGTGAGACAGAGTTGAAACTGGGTGTGCTTCCTCACATTCCTGCGCAGCCAATGCGACCTGTGCTGCCTGTCAGGCCCAGCAGGGTATGCAAACAGCCATACCCTCCAGGTACTGAAACACCTAACTTATGCACATACCTTTGGCTGCAGCAAACAGAGTGAGCCGCACCAGCATTTCTAGGACTGAGCCTGCTAAATTGTTATTTCCTCACCTTCTTCCACTGCCACAATTAACATTGCTTTTTGCATGTTCCTAGTAGTTCAGTTTTGACGATGTAGCTATAAACTGCAAATATTTCCAAAGCTTTAGCTGAGGATTTTGTTGTTGCCTTGGTCTTTGTTTGTTTGTTTTGGGGGTTGGTTGTTTGTTTGCTTTCTAAAAGGAGGCAGGGAAGATCTGACCTTCCAGAGCCATGGACAAGTGTTTTACAGTTCCAAGTGCCTGACCCCAGAGACTGATAGAAAGAACTAATTGTTGTACCAAATTCCCAAGATGTACTCCCTAGACATTCCTCCAGCTCGTCACACCACTCACCAAGCAAAACGAAACTAGGATTTCGTCAGAGACGTCTGTCTCTCCACGAACCAGCCTCAGATGATCCTCAGTATCACATCAAGACCTACTTTCAGTTTTAGCTCCATGAATCTGTACCTAATAAGTGGCTATGGGATGACAAGGGTTATGAGTCACTGCCACACTGTTTCTGTCCTGCCAGACAAGTGGCAGGAGAACAAATAGGCAAATAAATATTCCTGTGCCAATGCTAATGTGGATGGTTGCCTGGCTACTAATGACTTCAGAAGAACTCCATGAGGCAAACCCCGGTGGAAGGACAGGTGGAGCAGGTTGGTAAACTGATACACTAACCACAGGAGGGGGAGGCCCTGCAGAAGAAACCCCAAAAGCTAAGCAGGGGAAGGACAGAAAGTTAATTAGGGAAGTGCTGATTCACGAGCTGGTTACCATACCTATCCTAATTTTCAGCCTGGTGCTTCATTTACAGAGCTGTCTGCTCTCTGCTTTTAGCCTTCTGCCCTGGCAGGGAGGACTAATACATTGTCTTTCTTTCTGAATCATCAGCTGGGTCTGTGTGATAAGTATCTAGCCTCACAGATGGAACCAAAGCTTTGGGAAAGGGAAAAGAGAACACACATCTCCATTAAGGTGATCAGAATCTAAAGATTCCTTAAGCTAGCTGTCCTGCAGTCTGCCTCTATGCAGCACAGTAGACTGCTACCCAAAGCCACTCAGCTGGAGATGGGATGCTTTGTGTTGAGCCAGCATGTGCCTGGAGAGCTGCAGAAAAGGTCACCTTGGAAAATGAACTACGGTTTTTTCTAACCATTTATTGCAGCTTTGTGACCAAGGAGGGAAACGTGAGAAGTTATGGCCAGTGTAACGGTTACAAAGCAGCAAGCCCAGGTAGGAAACACACCTGGAAAGAACATGCTAGATAGCTCTTCCTTACTCTGCTCCTGCCCACC